GGGGGTTCTATCTCGTGGTGTTCTCGAAGACAAAAGTCGGTATCTATAAGTACGACAGAAGCGGAGTACGTTGCAGCAAGCACAGCTGCACGAGAACTAGTGTGGTTGCGACAACTCCTGAGTGACCTTGAATGTCCATGTGTAGAAGCGAGTCCATTGTATATTGACAACCAAAGTGCAATCAAGTTGTTAAAAAATCCGGAATTACGAATTATTAAGAGAACAAAACACATTGACATTCATTTTCACTACATTAGACAGAAATATCAAGAACTAAATGTAAAGTATGTCAATACTAAAGACCAATATGCCGATTTTTTAACAAAAGCATTAACTAAAGATAAGTTTGTATCTTTGCTAAAGAGAATTGGTATGAGCGATAAAATCTGTACAAAAGCACTTGAATAGTGGGAGTATTACGTTTTGAATTCCGCGCGCATTTGTGTTACTGGCGACTTATTGCTCTAGAGACGCGTTTGCTCATTGGCTGCCGCTCTCACTGGCCCTCTTCCGTTTTGCTTGCGGAGTCTTCACTGCGTTTTCCGTTTTCCTTCGTGTATTAGACGTTACTAACGTGCACATGTTGTTCACACCGGACATATGTACTTTTCTGTATACAATTATATTCTTTTCTTGCACTTAAATAAACGTGCACATTTACATCGTGATTCTGCCATTATTAATTACTTGCCCTGCGATCACATCTCGGAAAATTAATTCAACAAAAATTTTATAGTTGGGCGCTGGTCATTTTTTTTTCAATTTTTTTTATCCTTTGAGGTACAAACAAAATAACAAACGGTACAAACAAGTACAAACAAAGTACAAACGCGCTGCACTAATAATTTTTTTTTTCTATAAAGTTGGGTGCCATGTTCGGTTAGTCATCGAACCCCTCGGTGAAATACTCTAACAATAGCCGGTTGTATGCCAAGGTCCTGGGATTCCGGCGAAACCTCGGAATCCGACGAGACCTCGGCACTCTTGCCAGATCTGTCACGAAAGTCACGTCGGGCAACTTCGGCTAATAAACGAAGATAATATAGCAGCCCGACTCTCTCGCACTCGGCAACGCTCGCTCGACCGGCATCGGGCGGCTTCGGGCCGCCTCGACTGCTCGGCTCGCCGTTTGCCGCCTTATTTTGAACAGAAATATAGGTTATAGTGTATAAGTGATGTATCTGACCCGCTCGACAATTTCGATAATTTAATAATTTTTATATCGAGTAAATCACGCGTTACTACAACATTTAACATAATAATTGCCAACAATGTTTATTATAAATAATTATATTGAAGAAATTAATATTAAACAAAAATTAATTTTCTTTTGAAATACGTACATTGTGTGGTTATTATATAATACTAATACAACACAAATATATTGTTAAATCTGTATTATTAGTATTATAATAATACGAAACAATTGAGATAAATATTTAAAAAGATATTTCATTTTTATTTAATATTATGCATATATATAAGAAACTAATATTAAATAAAAATGAAATATTTTTTTTAATATTTATCTCAATTGTTTCGTAATATTATAATACTAATAACACATATTTAACAATATATATATATTATTATATATACAGTCACCAAACTAATTGACCGGACACTGCGTTAATATATCGATAATTTCTAAAAATTCAAGATAGAGCAACTTTGTCAAAAATTATCATAACATAACGATCGAAAAAGCATTTCACAGCT